AGCAGCCTCCACACTGCGAGCATGTTCCATGTTTATCCAGCATAGAACAAGTTGTTGTGATGAAAAGAAAAACGTGCTGCAGCTGTACCTAAGCCCCTGCCATTGAAAAGAATGAATTGTGTTAAAATGTAGTCTGCACTTGAGCATTCATGGTAAAAAATGATTTATACTGACATGTAAATTTAACCAGATGAAGCTTTTGATTATTTCCCCTATCTCTTGGTTTGTGCTATTTCTCTGAGGTGGAAAAATGCTCTTTGCCAGTAATTCATTATAAATGCCCCAGCCATTCCCATTAGCTACAGCAGGTCTCCACTGCACTGCTCAGTATTAAAATATGCACAAACTTCTCTTCTTTCCAACTCACCAAAACCAATTTTTGATCCACTCTGAGAATTTAATCACATTTCAGTTCTCTTGGCTATAATCAACGTGCATGCTTCACGCAATATTTACTTTCTGTGCAGGTATCAAACTTATATATGACAATTTATTTTTACATGCAGAGAACAATGTTAGCTGAATGCTCTCTTAGGGTAAATTGTATGTAAAAGTCTGCCCAGGGTATTATACCAAAGTGCTCCTTAAACCCATGCTAACTGCACCGAGTGACATCAGACAAGAAATGGCAAAATTAAGCCGCATACAGTAGCACTATTAACTCAAAAATATTGGACATCCTAGAATACTTAAGAAAGCCAGCATGAACACCGCTTCCTAACAGCCATCCTACAAAAGGCTGAATGCCCTGAATTTCCAGCAAATGAGTTGAAAGGCTGTAGGACAGATGGACAGACTGGATGGACCCTATCACACACAGTCAGGGCAAAGGACCACTCTTGGCTAAGGGCTCTCCCAACCTGGGAGAAGCTGTAAGCTTACTTGCCTATGACATTATTAAATTAAATACTTTGGTAAAACACAGGAACCCGGGACAAGACAAGATGGGAAACAAATCCTCTTAACAAGCTGAGTTGCACAGCTTTTGAGACTGGCCAGAAACATGCAATGAGCAGCACATATTTTAATGTTCCTGACAATGTATCCAGGCTAAAAAAGTGCACAGTTACCTGGGCTGAAATGTTCTATAGGAGAAAGAAGCATTTCACTGATAATCATTAAATGATTTTTAAAACTCCAACATAATGGTTCATGGAAAATACACAGCTAGATGTTTAGAGGCTGTTTTTTAAACTTGCTGTACTTTGGGTTATGTTTCAGCCTATGCAGAATCCAAGCAGTACAACCAATTCTCTTCACCTACATACACACCTTCCCCTTAAGGAACTTCACTCAGCTGCTGCTCTGTATCACTGTGAGCCTCCTCTGTCACATCACCATCACTTTAATGACCAAGCAATAGCTCTAGGACTACATGTCTGACAAACAGAGTCTTAAAATATTTTTCACTCTTTCGTTCAAGACAATGAAGGAACGCAGGGAATTCATAGAGTATGAAACCTGAAAACTCAACTGTAGTGCATATGGTGCTCATTTGAAAGATGTGGTCATTCACAGAAAGCAAAATAAGATAAAATAAAAGCCACCCTAAAATACAGAAGGGCATGATTCCTGATGCTATTACGTTAGACAGCAGTGCCATAACACTGTTTAAGTCATCTTGCAGCAGCATGACACTGGTGTAAGGAAGGATGAATAAAATCCTTTTAAATGGATGCTCAAGCACCAAGAACTGCAGCCTCAAATTGCTCTGAATAAGAGTTCCTCCAAATAAAACTGTGAGGGTGGGTTCAGCTTGGGGGGGGGGTGTGCAGTCACACAACTCCCATGGACTTTGGTAGGAAACTGGTTGTAGAAAAAAAGCCATTTCAAGTGTGGTGTTCTTTTATGTGACATGGAGACACATGTTCCAGCCAGTGTGGACAGAATCCACACCCTGCTTGGAGAATGGCGAGTAGGAGAGCACGGCAGACTGCTGGGAGGACCAGGGTCGCTTCCCTTCCCTGCAGTCCAGGACTTTCAATGTGCTTCTATAACAAATGTATATATTTATATAGTTAACATAATATCTTTCTTTTGCTTAGCTGAGTTGCTACCTTGTCCCCGAGGAGCTTTTATCGTTACATTAAAAATCTCATTTTTGCTCTAACTGACAGATGCTGCAAACTATCCATAAAGTCTGGCAGCCAGCTACAGATATCTGTTCTCTGCAGGTTTATTATTCATCACTGATCCCCCCGTGGAGCAAATTCACCTCATTCTTGAGTACAGTCACTAGATCAGAAGCAAACCACACCTCAGGCTACCTGTGAGGTTGGATGCCTGGAATCCTCCTCTGCACAGACACAAGTGCTGGAGTCACAACAGAACTAAAAGCAAGTGATCATGACATAGACCACAATATTCTCTCTCCCTATTACATTGCATCATCAATGCTAATTTAATTTCTCTCTGGAAATGGTGCATGCAACTATCTGTTATAGTTATTTACAATTTAAGTACATTTCTATTTCCCTTTGTTCTCTTGCTTCAGGAATCTGACAGTGTTTTGTGGGGCTTTTGCACCTGATCAATTCCATGTTGCCATCTGTCTGCTCCTGACAAATCCCATTCAGGAACACATCCCTCTGTGGGCTTGGAAACCCTCAGGATGTGTAGATGGCTGTCACTTACTTGAGCTGATCTGTTCCCCAGACTCCCTGGTGGCATTCCTTGAACAGGTGAGTGTTCAGCTGGTATAAATCAGCTGAGCTCTCTTGGGATTCATTTACATCAACCAAGAATACAGCCCAAAATATAGAGCTTATTTCCCATGCATCAGACTGTCAGACTCTATGTCTTGCTGAAAGGACCATTATCAGCAAAAGAAGTGCTAGAAACACTTAAAAAATAGTGCTGGAACTGGATTCTGGCAACCTTTTTGCATAGCAGGTGAAGTAGGGGAAGATGCTCCTCACCAGCCCTTGTCGACACCCGGGGCTCATTGACAGAGACATGAGTTGATTTTGCCCACCAAGAGTTTCTTGCAGTTATTATGAAGGACAAGACAATGAAACCAGAAAGCACGAGAGGATAACCCCAAAATTATTGAAAACTTGGGTAGCAACTTTCTTTAGAAAAGTAAATTGAAATTCAATAGACACCTGTCTTTGTGAAGAGTATTTAAAATATGAATCTGGGACATAACAACACAACAAAAGTCTGTTTAAGGCCTTTCCAAACCCATCAAGTTCAAGAATACAAGAATAAATGTAAGAAAATATAATTGCCTAATAAAATGACCACTGTTACTAAGGAGAAAATAGACATGTGTCACCAGTTAATTTTGCAATAGTATAAACTATTAAATTCACAGATACTAAAGGATTCAAGGAAGACACTATTCATGACAACATAATCACATGAGGAACTATCCCTAATCGATGTAAATAATAAAAACTACAACCAAAGTGAATCTCTGAGCCCTGACTAAGATATCTAGATGCCCATCAAGCAAAAAGTTGGACTTAATCCAAATCAGAGTTATATTCTATCCCTTCTTCTCACGTCAAGGGATACTAGAAGTGATACTTCACTCTCTCAGTGGTCATAAATCACAATGAGAAGCTACTCCTGCATTGTTAACAGGTTACCAGGGGCAGAATCCACCCTCATCCCATTTTCTTCGTCTTTGCAAAAACAGAGCTGATTTTCCCAGAATGTATGCAATGAAAGAACTGACCAGCTCAAACTAAGCACGGCAATGAAATTTTGCTTAATGTAGCAACTTCTCTATTCCACCTTGAGACACCACTTGAGGTGATGCTCCCTGAGGTGGGACTGAGCCCACAGAAGCCAGCACAGCTCGACTTGGTGCTCTCTGGGGAGTGAGCAGCCAGAAAGGACCGCGGCTGCAGACACTGATGCAAATGACAACACGGTGCCGTCAAATGTACATTTGCAGTGCAAATGTCAATGACACTGAGCAGTCACAGGACTGTGACTACAAAGGATTAGGGGACTTTGCACGTTCTGGCTGTGTGGCTACAGCCCTACAAACAGGTCTGTGGATTAACCACACTGAGCAAACAGCCAGAGTAAAAAAGAAAGCAGAGTTCGATGCCGTTCACTGAAACGTTACTTTGTCCCGCATCAACAGCAGTTCTAATTTGCTTTGGCTCTGGCAGATACAAGAGGAAAAATATGCAAAGCTGCCCCTTGTCCCAGCTGTCAGGATTGCAAAATAAATGAGAGATTTGAATAAGTTTACTTAATTGTTATCAGTATTACGGGAATCAGTCATAGAAAAGAATAATTTGCAGAAGATAATAAATTACATTTTCCTCTATTTTCCTCCTTGGGAAAAATCTATTAAGAGTTTATAATTAAAACTACTGAACATAGTTCAACTGAATGTTTTTAATTGAAAACTGGCCTATTTCTTAAAATGTCTTTTCTTCTTCTTTTTCTTCACAAAAACACTGTTTGCTCTTGTAAGAAACCTCACTGAAAATTATTTACTGACATTCTTTATCAAAACTCCTAATAAAACAGTTCTTTACTCACTCAGCAACTTGAAGCCATAAAATTTCTATGTGAAAATCCCGGCCAAACAAAAAAACCCTACTTTCTCTAATCCCTTTTTAATAACAGCAACACAGATTACAATAGGAAGATGTAAAATGTGTTCAGGCATGCGTGTGATACATGAGTTGTCCCTTCCCCTCCATACCCTGCACTGATTAGCCCAACCAGTACACAGTGACCAAGAGACAGGATCCTTTTTGTTTAGGGTTTTGGGTGTGGTTTTTTTATATATTTCACATGTCAGGATTATTAGTTTGCATCAAAGGCACCACAGTTTGATTTCATGAATCCACACGTATCCAAAGGGAAATAATATATTAATAAGCTAGAACCAGACCATCACCATTGCACTGAATTTGCTATCAAATCTCATGTCTATAGATTATAACCACATTCCTTGGAATAGTAAATTATAAAGTAACTAAGTTCTTGACACAATTTCACCAAGAACAGAATTAAAAATGTTTACTTACTGATGTATATAGGTATCCTTCACTGTTCATTGCCAGATATAATTTTGTTTGAACCCCCTGAATCGCCACCACTCGTAAACCCACAGGTATGAGGTTAAACAAAGCTAGGAGAGAAAGGAGATAGAGAGCAAAATTAATCCTTTAGAGTATGCAGATTAGATAGAAAATTAAACCATAATTACCAGAACCAAATAAAAAAATGTCTGTTCATGCATATATTAATTTCTGTGGGTGCTACAGAGCAATACTGCTACTGTCACGTTCTTTTATAGAAATTTCCACCAATAGCTCAGAAATTACGTGAGGGTATCAACGTATCTCCCTCTTTCTCAAGATGGTGAATTGAAAGTACTGACAGCTGAAAGGACTTACCTGCCTCATGAGCAGAATCCAGGGTCTGCTGAGTAGAACTGAACATACTAATTTGTTTGGGGTTTTTTTGACAGTAAGTGCAAAAAGAAACAAAAAGAAATCCAGAAGCAAACATACAAAAAGTTTTACAAGATGATATATTTTTTTTTATTTTCAGATCAAATTCAGTAAACATTTTGACCAAAAGGAAGGAGGAAGATGAAATTCAGAGGAGTTCAAAACCATCATTAACATCACAAAATGCTTCTACTCAAAATTTAGTAGGGTTTTCTTTTTCCTCTTTTTAGAGGAGAATGAGTTTGAAAAAACCAGGATTAAATAACTTCAAAATGAAATAACAGCAATTCTTTAGACTGAGTCCTGAATCTGTGCTTTCAAAACTGAGCTGCTCCGAATGTTCTGCTTGTGTTTATGCTCGTATACATGGTAATAGTGGCAGTATTTATAAGCAGAGAAGTCTCTCTTAAAAAAAAATGGAGATTGTGGTTTGTAAAGTGGCAAATTAAAGCAAAAAAAAAGAAGAAAAAAAGGCAAAGCTGTGCCATAGCTTGGACTCATGGATACATTAAAACTGAACACAAGCAATAAAGCGTTGAATACAGTACTCCACGTTCAATATGGAGGATTAAAAATAAAGGGGAGTTAAGAAAAGTTATCATAACCCGAAGCATCTCCTTCCAGTCTGTAGTATAAATGCAGAGATAGGATAAAGTAATGCCAAACTGCCTCTCGTTTCCAATGATTTATTACTTGGCTGGAAAACTCTGGTCTGCTTCAGGCTGAAGTTTGCTATTTATGGTCACTCTCTGAAACAAGTTTAAAACTGAATTATGAATCTGAAATATTTTTATTCTTTTCAAAAGTATAAGTTAAGAGTTATGACCCCTTATAAATTCCTTTTTCAGCTTGAAAACCCCAAATGGTCATATTTTATTAAAAAAGAAATTTACAGTTGGCCAGCATTTAATACAGATCCTAAATTCTGGGTGTGGGATTGCTGAGTGCCCTGAAGTTGGGCACTGCATTTCCTACAATGGTCAAATGTAGCAGAAAAGGTGGAAATATCCAGAACTAACAAATGAATGTAGGACTTCGTAAAATCTGTGTTTTTCTTTCTCTCTCATATGGGAGAGTGGACATGCAGACACAAACACACACACACATGCAGACCCTCCTCACACTCGCCTCAAGTATAAAATCAAACATAAAATCAACAAGTTTCTCCCTTCACTAAAAGGGAAAACCCTCTGATTCTGTGCAGTATTTGGCAAAAGAATCTTAGATTTCCAGTAAGGGAAACGGATTTTTCATTCGTTCTATCAAATGCTTGAGTTTATTTGGGGGAGAAAATATTCCCTTTCTGACTCATTAAATACTCCCTTGGAGAGCCCTCTTTTGCAGCTCAACCCCAAAAAGCAGCATCTGATCTTTGTGTAGGCTGAAGAGCACAATTTAAAGCTCAGTATCCAGGCAGAACCTGCAGGTCTCTTTTGAAAGATGATTTCCTAATGGCACATTTACAAGTAGGGCAGGTGTTTGGGTATTTTCAGCACAAGGGTCTGAGCACAGGTTCCACCAAGAACAGTGCTATGAACCTGTCAGTAACCAGCTGAGGACAGGGCAACGCCTGAGACAATTGAGAAGACACAGCTACCAGGAGCCACAGAGATAGGCTTTAGTAAGGGATTCCTAGCTGTGCTTTGCTGGGCAAGTGAGTAGATATGAGTCTGAGTGATTGCCAGAGAAGGGCTGGGGCACCCACTGCAATGGGTGCTCAGCTGCTTCCCTCAGCAGCGGAACGTTCTCCTGCCATAAACATACATGCTCTATTTTGGGGCAAGATGAGGGTTAGGCACACTCAGAAGCTGGTTTAAACTTCAGTGGGATGAACAGCTGCTGTGGCACAGACTGTTGGAATTTCAGAAAGGGTTGTTGGGGGGGTGATGCTGACTGTGCTAAAGCTGTTGCAGGGGTGCACACTCTGTCCTGTGGCAGCACAGTCAGACGTCCCACCCAAGCTGCTGCCTCCAGGGAGAGGGGACATTAGCACTGCACCAGAAAAGGGACTGTCCTCTTTAGCAGCAGCTGTTATTCTCACTGTCCCTGCACAGCAGCAAGTCAAAATCTGGCTTCTGGAACAGTGAGTGTCCTGTCCATGTCAGTGGCTGCCGATGGCGCCCACAGCAGAGCCACACGGCCCCATCTCTCCAAGTCCTCAGCACCACAGACAACAGGATGCAGATGCTATCACATTTCTAGGGGATGATCCTTATGTGGGCAGGTATGACAGAAAGGGTGGCAAAAAAAGCCACAGGAAAATAAATTACTTGCTACTGTAATCAGTTGGTGTCAGCATAAAATAATGCAAAGCTATTTGCATCCTAGTCTTTCCCTACTACATTTGTGCTGTTTAAAATAAGGCTATAATATCCATCCTAATGAAAAACTTCATGATGCCTGAGGGAGAGATGATCTTTGCCATGGCCCTTGTGCAATACAAGCTGACAGAGAAACAAAGCTGCAAAATAAGAGGCAGCAGGCCACAGCTGAATTTATGAACGTATACGATACTGCGAAGTCTGTGCCAGTCTTGCCTTGGCCAGCTGGTCTTTTGTACGCTGTCTGCAGGATATTGTTTCCTATATTTCTTTATTTTATCAGTCTTGAAATCTTTTTGTCTTGCCAAAACTGGGGAATAAATTCTGCCTTTATTTAAACCCTTGCCCTATTCAACATACTTAATGAGCAAAAATCTGTTTCCCAGCCAGGAGATCCTTTCCACACGGCATTTCCTCAAATCACATGGACTCTTGGCTAAAACTGAAGCCTGATGAGTGCTATGGCTCCTTAAATCCATGTGTCACTTTCTGCCTAAATTTTGCTCCAAACTCTCATCTTTCTTTTAAGCTCCCTGCAGTTGTGGATGCAAACTTGTTTTTGTGAACCCTGCATGCAGCAGCAGGTCTGCAGAGCTTGAAATAATTGCTCCCAAGTCAGGAGCCAAAGGGGAGTTTCAGGCAAACTTCCCACCCATCTCTAGGTAACAAATGATGGAGAAGGTGGGTCCTGGCCCCAGGCTGCCTGTGGGAGCACAAAACACAGCTGGTTATGGGGGGCTGCAAGCTCTTCCCATCCCTACCATACCCAGGGAAGAATAATTGCTTTTGGAGGGGGCTACAAGTCCTGTGGCTTCCCTGCAGTGCATGAAAATGGACTAAATGAGAGATGTCTTTGCAGACACTGAAAGAAAGGATTTTAGAGGATCTGATCTTCAAAACATTCATGTTAGCAGGGGTTTGGGGAGAAGCACCTTATGTGGACTCTGACCAACAGCATAATCAATCTGTCTTACTAGTTCCATTACAATACTGCAATTAAAACTAGTTCAGGACTGCAGGATACCCAGAGCCATACACTTACCTTAAATAAAAGAGGAATATGATTTTTTTTTAATGATAAAACCCTCCTCTGTTATGCTCAGCTGCAGTTAGTTCTGGGACACTTCCATTACATTTAAGTATTCAGCATTTTGGAAGGCTGGTATACAGAAACAAGGAGGTTTTATAATTTGCTTAATAATCTATCAGGTTATGGTCAATTTAAGGACATATTGAGAAGAAAGATCTCTTAGAAAAAGACATATTTGTATTTTAAAAAAATCAATACTTGCAATTCCAGATATTTGCTTTGGTAAATTAAAAGTTTATAGCAATATCACACTTCGATGGAAAGAGGAAGCTTTGCCTATTTCATCATCTTTTTTTAAAGATAATTAACAGAATTACCCCAAAATCCTGAACAATCTGTAGTGACTTTTAAAATCTTAAATATCAGGTCATTCACTTGAAAGAAAAGCACTGTTTAAGGTCCATAAAGACCATTCTTAGGGTACATTTTGGACTGCCCTAGGAAAACTGTATAAGGTGGCAGTAGCCATCACCTTTGCACTGATGTGTTCTCTGCAGGCAGTGATGGCACCTGGAGCCAGACCTCAGGTGTCCCCACAGGTCCTCACTGTCCCTTATGGCCAGCACCTCCAGGGGCTGCAGGGGGAACCTCCTCCCACAGGGAAACCAGCCCCCTCCTCTCACTGAGAAGGTAACACAGGGATGCAGAAAGGACTGAAGAAGATGTCGGAAAAGGATGGGAGCAAGTGATGGGGCAAATAAGATGCAATATTTTCCATTGCATCAAGTGCTCACTCTGCCATATTCGAGTGCCCTGTGAAATGAAATGATGTTTCACCTGCAAATGCTTTTTATATGAAATGATGGCACTTAAATCAGTGCTTTTTATTAATTAACAAGGAAGGTCTGCATGTTGATTTTTGGTTTGTCATCTAAGGGGCCTGAAATACCTTCTTAAAAGTCCTTTCATTCTTTACAAAAAATGGAGTTTAAGCTAAACAATACAACTACGTGAAACCCTTAAATATTTTATTTACACACCCCAAATCTATCCTCTAGTCATCTTGTCCTGTTTTCTATTAATTCTCAAAGTTTAAAAAAATGTCCAACAACCAACAACCGAAAAATGCCCAAAGCTTCTTCACAGAAAAGCTGAGGGACATCTGGTGGAAAGTTGATGGTATAATTAAGTTTAGAGGGGGTAAAAAATAATAATAATAATAATAATAATAATACTAATAGAGAATTGTGAACTTTAAAATGATGGTGAACTGTCATTGTGTGAAATAACATGGCTCTGTTTGAATGAGCCCCTGTTTAAGAGTGGAGATAGCGTTATTCTATTTCAGGCACTCTGAGTAGGCGAGCAAATTTTCCCTGTTGAAAAAAAACCCCTAATAAAATCCAAAGGACAGCTATGAAGTTCTCTAGATTACCATGGAGATAACATTTGCTTTGTTTGTCACATGTGTCATCATTACCTCCTCTAGTTCATTATTTCTTTAAGTGATTTTTATCTGTATTTCTCTCAGACCCAGTAAGTCTGAAGGACTTCTGCACTGCGATCACAGCGTTAGTGCCACTTCCACTCACTCAGCCACCCCAGGACAATAATTTTGATCAGACCTTTATGGGAAGAATGACACACCACAATTCACAAACACACCATTTATTCTTGTGTCACTTACTATAACTACTGTCTTCCTCTTTTGTTCCATCAATTGTTCCATCTGCTTGCAACTGCAAGTGGTATCCTTGCCTGCTGTATAGCTTTGTTACTATACCTTTAAGCTGAGGCTCTGTAAAAAAACAATAGTGAGATTAATGTGGGAAATCCTGATGTGCTGTTCCAAACAAACATGGATGTTAAAACAATCTTCAGGTTTCTTCTCAAGGCTGAGATAAGAAAAAGACCCAAAACAAAGGCAGAGCAACTGGCTTTGCAACACTTTTCATTCAGGCCGAGATCAAATTTATGTCTATGAAATCAATTGCCAAAATGATTAAATGCCACTTTCAACTGCAATGTAAATAGCACAGTAAAATCTACTTCCAGTGAATACAGATTCCAACAGTGTCCTGCTTGGCCTCAGGAGCTCAGTCCTATCTCATTTAAGATTAGAAACAAGCTGGCAAAGAATGTATTCTGTCTTTTAAAAAAGGTGTGAATTCTTAGATGGAGAGGAAAAGAAGACTATTACGATAGCACTAATAGGAGCCATAGAGACAGTTGAGAGCCTAAATATATAGCAACAAACGTTTAGCACAGGAACTGCTGCAGCTCTAATAAACAAACCCCATCCCTTGCTGCTCCAAAGAGTATAGAGCCTCCAAAGAGATAAACTACTCAATGAACATATGGAAAATGGAGGGGGAAACCGTGAAACACAGCAATGTGTGGAACTGCAAAATAAATATTACCATAAGGACTGAGGTAATTACCTCCTCAACTAGAAGAAGAAAGATCAAAACAACACAGAGTTTGGATAGATTTCTTTTTTTCATAACCATCCTCAGATTCACAGTCAGAGAGTGAGATATCTCACAGGGTTTCATACCATTGCAGACCAAAAAGTATACAGCAGCAGGGTATACAGTATGCTGTCAAGTGTGTCATTTAAGATATCTAAGTAATGCATCAGGAATAATTACAAAGAAAGGTCTACGTCCACTGAATCCCAATGACATCTGCATTGAAGTTGTTTCACACAATTACGTTTGTCAGGAGCTGATGCATCCCTGCAGCTCACTCTACAACATCTTACTTTATTCAGAGATAAACACACTGTGAAGATATGGTGTGTCATTTCCACCAGTCTGGAAAGTGTGTCTGGATAAGACTCCTTATGTTTGTGATCAAAGACATTAGGGAGCTTTGCTACTGTACTTCATTTTAGTAGGGGATGAAAGCAAAAGCTTACAACAGTTTGCATAAGTGTATTAGTTCTTATTAGCAACCTTTAATAAGAGTACTGATGGATGCACAACTCTTATCTGCCAACTTTTCTGAAAACAAATTATTCCAACCCTCACTTTGGCTTTTTAGCTGTTTGCAAACTGTGAACACAGTCGGCAGCTCTTCCGTGTCTGCTGAGCACGGTGGACAGGTGGAGCAGTTAATGGCATCGATGCTCCAGCACAGCAAAGCGACAGCAACATTACCAGAGGGTTTTGCTCCTCCCACATACAAAGCAACCCACTCAGATCAGGGACTGTGTCTTTGTGCCTGATCTTTTGCACCTGTGACACAGAGAACATTGTGTCCGCAGGGCAGCTGCAGGTATGAGATTCCTAGAAAGGAACAGGGTGCTGAAGCGGAACTCTGGAAGGTGCCAGTGAAAGCAAAAAGCCTCATCTGCAGTCAGGAGATAAAGCACAACATGGGCATTCTGAGAAGCAGGACAACAAAAACAGATCCCTAGACCACTAAGTTATTTAATGTACAACTGGGAGAGATGCATGTGTGGCAACTTCCCTGCTGGCATCTCCCCCGCAAATAAATCCCATGTGTTTGCACATGTGTATGTGTAACAGAGAGACAGACTACCAAATTACCAACACATGGGTGCACACAGGTGTGCAAGTGAGACAGACAGCAACAGTGTCTGCCACATTCTTTTTACCAGGTCTGAGACACCTGTCCCCTTTCCCCGCACCTGACACACATCCCAGTTTCCATTAAATTAAACAAACCAACCCCCCAAAGATATAACCCTTGCCAACCTGGTCGCCTTCTTCGCCTTTTCTTGGAGCCAAAGAGTTTGACCCTGGAAAACACATTCAACTTGTTCTTGTCGCAGCTTCCCTTGCTCTTGCTTGGGCTGTTGACACACTTACAGGCATTGGACTTCTCCCGCTCCCTGGCTTGTCTCTTCTGGCGGATCAGGGAGCTGGCGATGGCTGCAGCCATGGCCGCCACCGCCCCGGCACCACCGGCGGGTCAGGCACGCGGGGTTTGCTGGCCGGCCGTGGGCGCCGCAGCCAGCATGCTGCTCGGCCCGTCCCCAAGGCTGGGGACGCTGCCGGGCACCTTGGCCAACGCCACCCACCGCCAGTCAGTTGGGAGCCCAGGAGACACCGGTGGGATGCTCGCACCAGAGCCCCAGGTCGGGGTGCAACAGTTTAGCTCAAGCGTTTCTGTCCGCTGAGATCTTCCCCCTTTTTGACTTTCTGACGCTTTTTTATTCCTCCCAAGTTCTAGCAGGGGAAAGTTTGCAGGCAGAGGTGAGCGTTTCTACGGAGATCACGCAGATCACTTGTAAGACATCCCTCTGAGCTTCTCCAGACGCGCTATTTGCATGCAGACATGGCACATCCACTTGGTGCAAGATCATTGCATCTCTCCTAGCCCCAATTTCTCCAGTTAACTTTTCTCCCCACCCATCCCCTCCCCATTCAAATCCCAGCAAACACCTGTTAGACTCCAGAAGGGGCTGTCCAGTTGCAGGGGGTTTTCTGGATCCTTTTCCCTCTTCTCCCTTAAGAAGAGATCCGGAGCAAGTGGTGGTGGAGACACTGGAGTGAGGTGCAGATGCCTGGCCCCTTGGCCGCCGGCTGCTGAACGCCTCGGGAAGCCTCTTCGCCTTCGCTCCTCACAGGTGCCGCCGCCAGCGCAGATTCCCCTCCACGGGCACGTTCGGCTTTTGCATCGCAACACTTCCCACCAGACGGTAAACAGCCAGCGTTCCCCTGACGCCTGGGCGCCGGCAGCCCAGCGCTGGGACTGCAGCAGCAGGAACGGCAGCAGGAGCAGCAGCAGCAGAATCCCTCCGACAGCGATGCGGGTACCGCGCACACCCCACGAGCCGTGCGCTGGGTACAGAAATGAGGCAACGCAGCAAGCCCCTTATCACCACCCTCCCCTCCTCCTCCTCCTCTTCTCCCTCCTCCTCCTCCTCTCCCAGGCGAGGCAGCGAGCGGGAGCCCTGCCCGGCGGCGCTGCGTGCGGAGCTGCGGAGGGGCCGGGGAGGAGGGGGCTCTGGGCTGGCAGCGGGAGCGCCCCAGCCGGACCCACGGGCCGTGGGTACTTGCTTTGGACGGGGCCGCCTCCTGGGGAGGCGCAGACACCCAAACAGACGTGACTGCGATGAGCAAATAGGTGGCTCCGGGTCCTCGACAGAGGAGGGAGGATACCTGGCTCGCAGCAGGACGGGGTTTAGGGGGACCAGGTAGGTGGCCTCCAGCCACAGCTCTCCCCTGCCTTTGCCTTATCCTTACAGAATGGACCCTCTGCTTCACTGATTTATTGGAGGCTTTTTGCTTCTCTTGCCACTCCTTTCCTTCACCTGCTCTCAGCTCATTTTGTAGCAGATTAGAAAATCTTCAGAGAGCAATTTCCTTGTCATTGCCACATTCTCCTTCTTCCCTTTGTCCCCCACGGTGCCTCTGTGTCCTCCGAGGCCAGGCTCTCATGTCAGATGGGCTTATTCACCCCTGGCTAATTGTGAGGAGCCAGCTGTGATGGTACCAGGGCAGGGAAAAGCAGCAGTGCCAAGATGCCTGGCCAGAGCCTAGCACTGCACTGTGGTTAATGCCCTGCACAGTGCACACTGAACCCTGCACACATCCATGCCCCAGGACATAGGAATCAGGAGGTCCTGGAGGTCCCTTTGCAACACATCCCCCGCTCTTCAGCGTGCTTTCAACAGCTGGAGCTAAATCAAAGTCAATTCAGGCTGGAAACAGAAATCTGCAGCCCTGAAGGCAAACAACAATTGAAAGAATTTATCCCGAGGCTGAGGGGGTTTGCAGCCACTTGCAGGAACTGAGACAGGATGGCATGTCCCTGTGGACTGGTTCCTTGCAGGAACTGAGCTCAGTGGGGAACTGCAGTGGCAACAGGCTTTGGTCATGCAAGCCTGGGAGCTGTATCCTGTGTGCCCTGGGCCAGCTCTCCTGGGGCTACCGAGACAGCATCGATGTAGATGGGTTGGTGTGACAGCATCAGGTTCCTGATGTGCTTTCAGACTCAGCCAGACTTCTTAGGATATCTGCCCCTTCTTCCTCTCCTACATGTGCCCTTGGCACAGCCAGGTCCTCTCTTCCCTCTCTGGGGTCGCACATTCTGATCCCAGGCAAGTGCAGCAGAAACCATGCTGCCCCACATCTTCAGAGAGCTCAGTTCAAAAAAAGTTTGCTGGACCTCTGCCAACATTACAGTCCTTCCTTCCACTAGGAACAATTCACAACAGGTCCAAATCTCTTTCCTCCAACTGGGAATCCCTGCCCCAATAAAACATGTTGTATGTCCTGGTCCTAATAACAGAGATGCCCGTACTGTACAAGTTTGAAGATGATGTCTGACTGCAAGAACATTTTGTGCCATCACAGCCTGAAACCTCGACATCTGACACAGTGCATTGAATTTGGCAGCCTCATATACCCATCCACAATACCTCTTTTCTGCAGGAAGCACATGTGAGTACATGTACACTGACACGTTTATGTATATATACACACCTTTGTTTATGAGGAAGTTTATAGCATGCACATATACATATTAAATAAATACTCCTAATTTCTTACTTGAGTTTAACAGTAGGGTAAAAATAGCTGTAATTCACAAGTTCCACCACTATCCTCATCTGCTAGTCCACATAAGACATGTGAAATCCAATTCAGGAGACAGCCAGTTGGATATTATTAGCAATAACTCATCCTACTCAATTCACCGGTAACGTACTATGAATTTTGCCATCTTTCCACTTCCAATACAGTCATGAGTGAGACTTGTTTTTCCTGAGACTCACCAATTACTTCATAAATATTCCCAGTTTGGAAAGCAGCGTTTGATCTTCAGATCAAAGTGAAGCTGCCTCATTGTGATCTGTCCTATAGGTCACATTTCATTTTCACAGTGACTAACCAGAACTCAGAATTAGGCTAACCTTGAAAATCCTGGGGGAAAGCAGTATATAAAAGCACTATTTAGGATATCTTTCTGCCAGCATTCCAGTCTGTATGCTTAAAATCCATAATGAAAATTCATTTGCACAAATGTTCCTTGACAGATAACTAAAGAGAGGAATAAAAATAGCATATATGCATAATCAGATTTAAGTTTCAAAAAACAGTCCTCCAGTTTTTTTGCATGATCAACCTCTCCAACTATCGGTACTCCTACAAACATGTCTTCATTTACTATAAATGGCACATGAAAATGAAGATCTTGTTGTGAAAACGTTTTTGGTACAGGACAAGTCTTTGGACTACTTCAGTGTTCCAAACATAAAGATCTCAAGGAACAGCTTTATTTTCTTTGAAAAGCAAGAGCTGTTCACTCCCCACTGTGCTAAAAAGGTAAAATATAATAACATTCCAAGTGACTTTTTAAACATAGAAGACAACCAGACTCCTTGAACATACATTCTCTTCCTTTGTTTATGATCCTTGTAATGGGTCACATTTAAAGCTAAAGGGTAAATTGCCAGTCCCATTTCAATCAAAAATTAAACATCTCTTAAGAAACCAGTATGGGGCAGACTTATACAGTTACTGTCAGAGACAGTGCTGTGATCTCTCTGGAGCTGGGATCTGACCCAGAAGCAATTCCACTATTTTGAAGTAGACAAAGATCTTATCCACTTTTGATTTTTAATTTTTCTTCACAGACATCTGTTGAGTTTTTCTGATGATTATTTCCATGATTCTGATCATTAAAACATACATGAACCTTTACGGAGTTGCCTGGATTGGGCAAAAGTAAAGCCTGCAATTCGGTACCCAAACCAGCACTGGCCCTTTGACTACTACAGGACATGGTTTTCAACCAACACAAAGTGTGCTGCCCTGACTTCCCAGCTCCTGCATGGAAAGGCATCAAACCCCCACCATTGGCCCAAACTGCAAGCAGTGGTGGCTCTTTCACCAAATTAGAGGAAAGTGCAAACATTTTGGGTTTTGCTCCATCCTCCTTGAATCATTTTGTGCTGTGGCAACAGACCACTGCTGTTTGCCCTGAGTTTGAATCTATCCTGAGTGCAAAATATTTATGTCAGGTCTTCTCTACACAGGTAGATGCTGCAAAAAACAAATGAAAAATCCCAAGCCAGCTCCAGTGCTCACTTGTCATGAAACAAGCTGAAAGTATTGACAAACCCCAGAGGCTGTGCAGCATGTCCATAGCCCACTGCAGCCTGTGAGCAGAGGGACTCACTTCCCTCATGTGCCAATGCTATTTCGGCACATGAATGTCAGCAGTTGTGATCAGGCTGGAGAAGGGAACGGGTGGAGGAGAGACTTGCCATCTGCCTGTTGAAGTGCACTGGTGATGGGCATGAGCCCAACATGTGACTCATTGAGGGACCCAAGCTCCTCTGTGCCCTGTTAGAAGCATTAATGATTCTCAGGACATGTTGCCATAAAGTAGAGATTACTTCCAGCACCTTGGGTCAAAATATTCTACCCTCAGACTAAAGAGCATGTTCAATTATTTCCTCTTCCCCTATAAACAAGTAGCAAAAGATTTACACTAGGTCCTATTTAAACAGCTGCTGGGCAAAACAAATGCTGCATGAAAATCAAGGCCAGAAGAAAAAAAAATCACAAGCAAGCTCCAAACCTCACTCAGTCCAGCATAAGCTTCGAACCACTCCTCTACAGTTACAAATTTGAAGCTGCTTTGGTGCGACAAAATAAATGCAGCCTGGCATGGGGTGTCACGAGTCCCTCCCGAGGCTCCTTTGTTCTTGCTGGGGTAGCACACTGCTGCTGTTATAGAACAAGCAGAAAAAAAAATGAAGCTTAAGGACTCAAACCTATGGACTATTTCCACTGCCTACACTCTCCAAAAGTAGAGAATTATTTTCTGAAAAGCGCCACCGCAACCTCTTCTCTCTCTTTTCAGGATGAGATAAACAAGACTTCCTCCAGTCAAGGATGACACAGCAGCACTGAGGCCCCCAGTGATTTTTTTGCTCTTCTAAGTAAACAAAATTACTATTCACCAGGAAGCAGAGCTGTTCAGACCCAAGTCCCGCATCACTTAACTCCTCTGTGAAATATCCCATGGAAATGACTCAGCCTTTCCTCTGCAGCCAGCTCCAGGCTGGACACACGCGCTGCAGAACGGTGAGTGCCTGGGTGCTCTTTGCCTGAGGGATGAGCATGGGCTGCTGGCCAGTTCACTACCCCTGAGAGCCCAATTTTCCCCTAGATGTGGGTCAAATAAGAGTCAGCTGGAGGTTTATTTCTGAGTGCAAGGTGGAAAAAGGTATTAGTGGAAGAGCTGAGCCTTCAAGCAGCTCCAGACCAAGAGCTCAGATTTGAGGATATTTTAGTAACAGACCAACTGGCCTACCTTAAAATTAACCTTAATAGTAAAGAATGGCTACAATGACCAGCTGCAAAGAGAAGTATTTTTATGTTGAGAGCATAAGG